ATACTTATCAGGCTTTCTTGGATTGACCCGTAGTTTAGAGCACCTACCATTCACCAGCGATCAACCATCTGACTCGTGACCAGGCTCAACGTTGTTTAACTTTGGTGCTTGACACAAATAGGACCGTAAACAGCAAGCGTAACTATTAGCTTAATTTTGATCTAAAATATTCTCAGTATCTTTTTTCTTTCTATTGAATGGAGACACCTCTTTTCGATTTGCACTCATACCCTTTCTTTTGAACTGATGTAGAGTTTTATACCCATTTTCCTGTTTTCTTTTGTTAGTTTTTTTTGGCCATGGATTCCCTTTTCCGCTAAAGTATTTCCTTCTCTTTCACAAGGTTGCATATTGGTGACATTATCACCTTGCTTGGAGTGATGCATCTTATTCTGTGAACCTCTACATTGAGTGGCTCATTTGCCTTGTGTACGATGGGCATCATTGTAAAAAAAAGAAAAGCAATTTCAATGGAAAAGAGAGATACTATGGTAAAAATAAATATTTAACGACACTATTTACATTGTTCGTACTATTGTCCTGATCTTTGTTTCTATATTTATCAAAACGTCTCGGCCGTTGTACGCTCCGGTCTTCTTCAGGTGGTTGGAATGTCGACCTGAACCCTTTATTTCGCTCGTTGGGGTAGACTTTTCTAGTTCCACGTGCCATGTCTAACGGATCTTATCAGTTATCTCCTGTTAATTCACCTCTCCTAGTTCTCGACCACCTTAACCAGGTTTTGAACTCATATTCTTTGGGTACTGTCACTGGATCTAACTAACGCATTTATCCACTGTGGCATGTGTCCTTGAGAACACATGGCATAGTGGATAAACGTTGTGATAATTATGGCAACAAAAATGAGGTCAATAGTCCGAATAATGTAAATAGACTACATTATCTCATCTCAAAAATATAGACAGTTATCTCTTGGAAAAATATATTCATCTTTAAATAGGATTATCATAAAATGAGAAAACACTTATAGTGGCCAATCAGTCCCGGTTCTATATAGTTGAAGCACTAAATAATCTAAACTTGATATATATTATGTCTTTTAGGCTGTAGACTTTTCTATGGAGTACACGCCTACAGAGCCACTACGTCGTATGTTGGTTTTATGTTTTCTGATGAAAGTGTGTTTTGATCTGATTGAGTTATTTGTCCATATACAACCGGTTTGATATTCAACAATTGTTGAAGCATCGATATGTGAAGATGCTTAGCACCAACACGTATCTGGGTTTCATTTAGGATAAATAGCTAGAATGTATACTTATCAGGATTTCTTGGCTTGACACTTCTTAGAGACTGTTTGCCAAACAAATATGTTGAGAGTAGACATCCTTAACTGGGACATCAGAGATTGATTCATATCTTTCCAAAAATATTTTGCGAATGCTGAAATTTGAATTGGGGAAGCCATTTCGAATTTCGATGCCGATAACCACAAACGCTAGCATAATATGTATTATGAATTTTATATTTTTCAAAAAAATTTGATCGGAAAAATTTCACTTTCGTTATGTTTACAGCCACTGTAGTGCTGACACGGTATCCCATGGCAGATTACTGTCATATAGCATTGATCACCGAATTTAAGCAACGTCGAGCCTTGTCTTTTGCTTGATGGGTGACCGCTTCGAAATACAAGATGCTGCAAGCTTGGGTATGCGCTGGTGTAATTCATAATGGCTCCGAATTGCTAATCGGAGAGTAGAGTTCCAAATCCAGTTCGTTAAATTCCCTTACGCGTATATACGTTTGAAATGAATCGACATTTTCTCTCCCTGCTATGGGTTAATTAGGCAGACTTGTAACTCTAAAACATTACTATTTCCCTCCCCCAAATTCTTACAATATAACAATATAAGTCTAAAATGTATCAATCAAATCAGAGCTTTCTCGAAGGGGGAGTTAACGTATATATATATATATATATATATATATATATATATATATATATATATATATGCAATCGTCAGGCCCTGACGATTGTGCCTAGCATGAAACAGCCTCTCGCCTCTAAGATTCCTTTTGTCCTAGAAAACGTAAGATAAACATAATTAGACCCTAGTTCATAGGGCATTAATGATATGTTCAGAGTCTTTCTTCGATGATGAAATCAATTTTGTTAAGGTTTATGTATGTGGTTTAGGATAACGCCCCCCCCATACTGTTCATTCTGTCATCTGGAACAAGATTGATGAGTTCAGAAAGGTCAAAGTTTGTATTGTTAAAAAGTGCCCTGTTTTATCTTAGATTGCCGTGGATTGGATCCAATTGTGAAAGTATAATTAGGCAGATTTCATCTAATGTTCGCCGTTGTTTTTTCTCTCGGCTGAGGTTCGTATATTTTTTCAAACCCGGCCTATGTTTCGTTCTGGATGTAAGGGTGTTCTCCCTCCCCATCAAATTAATTCTATTGTTTAGAATTATAATTGTAGTCGCGGTGCTGACTACATAGCCAGAAATACTCAACGCCTGGACATGAGAATTAAACAGCATATTCCCACTAAGATCAGGAATCACACCCTGTCTTTGAATGGACGTGTCCCAAACACCGATGGTTCCGTCATATGTGAGCGCCTCTGAAGTAACAGAGGGCGTTCTGCTAATTTCAGTGCTGATTGTTTCACTGTTTTGTATTGGGTCCCGCAAGACTTCCCTCTGTAAACAGCGTGAATGTTTATTGGGGCTCGCTTTCATTTGTCTCGAGCTCCTTGTGTTCATTTTATTTTTGTCGCCAATCTTCCTTCTCATTGCACATTTTCTAGTGTTTAAATTTAAATCACCAGTGGATACCTGAAGAGCAGGAGCGAAACCAGCTTGTCTTCTTTTAATATGTCTAGTAATATTAAGCTCCACATATATATATATATATATATGTGTGTGTGTGTGTGTGTGTGTGTGTGTGTGTGTGTGTGTGTGAAAATATATAGAAAATAGGAAGGAAATGGTTAGGTAAATTATCAAAGTTCCTTAGTATTTTAAAAAATATTGCTCGATAGAAAAGTAGAGCATAAATATAATTATTTATTTGAAACATGAGACCTCTTATGTCGCAAGTTGGAATCATATTTTTAAATAAATAACTATATATATATATATATATATATATATATATATATATAGTCGACTCTCCCGTGTTCGACGTATGAGGGTCAAGCAGATCAGTTCCCATGAAACCGACAGCCCGACAACGGCACATGAGATTTGATTATAGTGGTGATGGTTTCGTGCAGGACCAGCCACACCTTTTGAAGGGCCGAATTCAGAGACCTGGTGCACTAAGTGTCACAAGGTTCCCAAACGACCCTCCGAAGATATTGAATTCAGAGTTGTCCTTCTCTTAGACCAGTTGCCATCAAAGGCTATAGAAGCCAGTCTGACCTGCTATTTACCCATATCTGGAGGGAGAAGAAGAGGATTCACACATTTCCCAAGGGTATTAGCACGTAAGTGAATGTAATGCATTCGACTGGAATTCGAACTCGGCTCTGCGATTCCTCAATCCAAGCCGCTATCCATTAAAAAGTTCTTAACGCAAATCATTAGTTAACGTTTCTGTTTTCTTTTATACTTATCTGCCTTGTCACATTTACTAAATATCCTTGATTCGCATTCTCTTTATCCATTGGTGACTTTATTTCGTTTATGTCTTTTCAATTAGGTAATAAAAATTTCACGATCATTCTTTTCGTTATATTTCCCATCATTTCCGATAACAGCCAATTATTTATTCATTGTGTTTTTGTCTTTATGTATAGTCATTGTTTACAATATGCCCTCCTCTCGCATGGCGATTTTTTTGATCGTGACATTATTTATACTTTTCGTTTCAGAGATACAAAATACAAACAAACTAAACAACGCTATAAAAATGTCATTCCAACGAGTAATAAACGACAAAATATTAATATAGCTTACACATTTCTGACAATATATCGACCTAAAATCTACAGTGATTAGTGACCCACTTCCAATATTTGAGCAAATGATCAAACGTTATTTTTTATAAGCTTTTCCTGTTTATACCGAAGACATTACAATAACCAACTGTGTATATATATATATATATATATATATATATATATATATATATATATATGAGAGAGAGAGACAGAATTGATTAGACAGATATGTAGAGAGAAATTGAGTTTATTATATATATAAAGAAATGGACACAGTCCGACAATTTATTTATTAAAGACATCTTTATGTTTAACGTTCTTTTTTATAGATACAAGTATTTAAGTAAATGCTCTGTTTATAATAAACAGTATTAAATAACATTCAGGCCGGTAAATGTTATTTAATACCGTTTATTATAAACAGAGCATTTACTTAAATGCATGTATCTATAAAAAAGAACGTTAAACATAAAAATGCCTTTAATAAATTTATATATATATATATATATATATATATATATAGAGAGAGAGAGAGAGAGATAGATAGATAGATAGATAGATAGATAGATAGATGAGTTTATTCATAATAAAATCGTGGTGTGAGCAGAAACCTCACCATCCTCATTTACTTAAACTTAGTTAAGATCTTCGCTAGTTTAATTGAAAATGAAGCTTTCAAATTTCGTACCTTTCAATGCTTTCTGATCGCGGTACTTGATGAGTTATAATAATAGTAATAATTATTACGTATGTCAGCTTGTCTGCTAGGGTGGCTAGGTAATTTCTATTGGATACACATGCTTCTTTATTTTGCACTGAACCAAATTTTATTATCTAACTTTTTTCTTTCTTTTTTTGTTTTCTTTTAATCCTTTCCTTTCAAGCAAGGAAATAAAGAAACTAGGAACGAAGGGGTTACGGAGTTTTAGAGAATATGAGAGAAAAAAAAACTTCTATTAATGAGAGAGAACAACAAAAAAGCAAGAATTAAGAGACATAAGATAACGATTAACATGAATTTTTTGAAGATCAAACTTGACCGGGACGCAAGAAGCCGGAATAGAGTTCTACAGAGTTAAGTGATTAGTTCATCAGATAGATAGATAGATAGATAGATAGAGAGAGAGAGAGAGAGAGAGAGAGAATGAACAGACTGGAATAGATAGATAAAAACAGATTTACATAATGAACAGATATAGATAGATAGATAGATAGAGAGAGAGAGAGGGTACGAAAGAAAGAGAGATAATGAACAGACTGGAATAGATAGATAGATAGATAGATAGATAGATAGATAGATAGATAAAAAGCAGATTTAAATAATGAATAGATATAGATAGATAGATAGAAAGAGAGAGAAATTAACTGACTTAAATAGATAAATATATTGAGAGAGATAATGAATAGACTGTGATATATATATATATATATATATATATATATATATATATATATAGAGAGAGAGAGAGATAGATAAATAGATAGATAGATAGATAGACAGAGAGCGATAGATATTTCTGTCGGCTTAGTTCTTCTTGTCTGTAAAATCAGACATCATCCTATGCACCAGCTAAAAATAGTATTCTCTTCGAAAAGATATCTTCCATAATGGGTTAACGTGATATGATGTTTTAAAAAAAAGTGTAACAGTAGAATTAAGTGCATTAACTCGGACGTAAATATTACCTCTGATTCTCCTGAGCGCCATTGATCCTTTATTAGTAATACTTCTTTGACACAAATGCCTCAGACAATATTGGGGATCTCTAGTTACTCATCTTCTAACTCCATTCTAAATACAACACACCATGAAACATCAGATCACTTGGAATTGCGGCGATAACGTAAATAGAAATATTATTGACTTCAGTTTCTCGGTGTTTTGGCTTTGTAAATGTATCACAAATGTCAGAATTTATATATTTCACTTTGTCTCTGATCACAGATTACTCGTGACAAAAATTACAACAGCAACCTCCAAAATAGACCGATTCCTAGGCATATTATGCAAACACTAAAAAAATGAAAATATAATATTAGAGCTCTGTAATAAAGTAGAATCCAAATATGTAGATGTCCGTAAATCTTGACCAATATAGAAGAATCAGATAAAGTAATCTAATCCTTCTTAAGCGAAATACATGAAATATCTAAACGGAGAAAGATCCACGCGTTGAACGACATGGCTATTTCGAAAAGACTGACAGTGGAAAGAAACAAGCGCCAGGGGAAGAAAAATACAAGCGAGAATACTAAACAATTAACAAAGGAAATGAAAGAAAACTTGATAACGTTCTACGAAATCAATATCTCCGAAAAATTGGAAGCCAAATTAATGAAGTTGAACAGCGTAAAAATAATTATTTTGAAATATGAAGAAAAGCCAAAAAAAAACAAAAAAACAAAATCATGACAGCCTTCTACAATGGAAAGCAAAACAGAAGAAATGGCCTATTCCGAAAAAAAACCCTTAGAGTTTCATTTCAAACCTGACCAAACTATGCTGAACATGCTCGCGGAATTAGAACATACTCAGATACACACCCGGCTATTGTAATATCTCCCTCCAAGCATAATTAACGAAACTAATGATGAAATAAGAAAAGCTATAAAAAGTTAAACAAATAACATTTAAAAAAAAAATCATGTGATGTTAGTCATAACATTGAAAATGTTATAAAGGAAGTTCGGAATAAAACTGCATCCTCCAATATTATAGTGGGGCGCACATAATTGTATTACGGAAATAAAACAATAACCCTCAAGATCGTCACACATATAGAAGCATGGGAAAAACAGTATATGTTTTTATATATACCAGAGCAATATTAAGAAAACTAATGCCAAATTGAGAAGGTTATGTGTATGAGGCTTTTCGTTTCAATTTAGTCTGATGAAGTCCTAACGGACGAAACAGGTCATACGAAAATATTGTCCACTTTGTCATTAATTTTCCAAATACAGAGATATCTCAATTGGTTCAATTACGATAGAGGTACTAAAGGATATTGACATGACTAGGCTTTCACCCATCTATGAATATCAAGTCCTCGCGACACAGTTTGGCTTTCGTTTTGATAATGGATCTAATGATAACATATATGTCAATCAAACGCACCCCAGCAAATTGTTTGCCTCTCCAATATAATATTGTATGTCGACCTTCCAGCTAGGTACAACTACAAAAATTGAGAGTTCCTCTTCTTATTAATTAGAAAATCCCTTACAAGCGTTGGTATTAACTTAATGCCTAGGCCTAATAGACGAACTTCATCAATTCATAAAATATATGTCTGATGAGGACCTCAATATCAGAACATTGTAAAGCTCATCTGGTGTACACAAAGCGAAAATGAGAGCGCAATCTATTTAATCCGTTCCTAGTTTATTCTTTGCGCATATACATGTACAGATGTGAAGTGATGGTCACTGATGACACCCAAATGAATCTATTTAATATAAAGCAACTTTACTACTTCCCCTCCTGCGGTTACTGTACAGAGCATAAGAGATGTTAGGATGATGACCTGATCGTATAATCTGGGCAACATATGAAGGAAAACTCAAGATAAAACTTTCCAAACAGGAACTATGATCTGGAATTGGAATGAAATTCGTGATACCCTGTAACATGAATCTGTCATAAAAATTCAGTACATGGAATTACTAAATGCTAAAAATTTCAATTGGTGTATTGATCAGTTACAACAAATTAAGTAGAGGAGATAAAGAAACTGAACATAGAATTCCAATTCCAGATCATAGGTTCTGTTTGGAAAGGTTTATCTTGAGTTTTACTTCATATCACTATATGTGCTAATCAATGCTCCTGTTTAATTGTGGCTTTTATTGTCTGCTACAATTCTTTGTTTGATGTTCGGTAAGCCATTCCACGCGTTTCGGGAAAGGATGATCCTCGTGTAGAACTAAACACTTGCCTCACTGAAAGCCATATTAATCACTGATCTGAGAAATTGGTTGTATACAGTCGATAGTTTGGATATTTGGGAACAATTCTAACGCAATCCATGTCATCCATATCAGATTCTGGATCAAATGATAATATTTACGAACATAACTGTAGATTTCATGGTGATATTTTCGTTATGTATTAACTTGCCTCACTATAAGCCATTTTAATCACTGATCTGAGAAATTGGTTGTATGCAATCGAGAGTTTGGATATTTGTGAACAATTCTAAAGCAAACCATGTCATCCATATGAGAGTCTGGATCCGACGATAATACTTACGAACATAACTGTATTTGTTATGCTGATGTTTTCGTTAAGTGATAACTTGTGTTAGCGGAAACTGTCCATATTACAGCCACAACAATTCAACAGCAGAACCTAAAATGGTTAGTATATATCATTCGAAGATTGAGGCGCAAACAATCTGAAATATTCATATAAGGAACTATCGGCGCGAATACCAAGCAGTACAGCATGCGGTTTCCAAATTTCTTTTGAAGAGAATTGCCTGATGGTGCTCTTTTTCTCACAGATGTTTTCCAACTGAGCCTTCTATACTGTGCAGCCAACACAAATAAAAACAAACAACGTGCATGAGGGAAATGAAAAATATAACATTGCGACAATTTACCCATCGCAAACAGTATATATCGTTTTCGACAACCCGCCCACCCCCTGCTCGCATCCGAGTATTGAGGTTCCCAGCTTCTCTCTCTATGTATTATTTCCTTCCAATCCTGGTGGTTGTGGCGGAGATGGCAGTGAAGGTCTACCCTAATCTGAAAAATCATGGGCATGAGTTACACCGGTGTCTCGTTAGCAGGCGCGTTTAGGCGAGTAGCGACCCACTTAACATCCCCCTTGATGCCGACGGTTAGACTCGAAAATCTGCACTTCCGATTCGCACCATATATTACTCAACTTACAATTATGCAGAATACATAGAAAAATAATTATATAAAATATGAGTCAGTCAGATATGTGCCATGTGTGATACTCGCTTTCGATACATGACTGACGAGGCAGATTTTTTTCCCGTAGCAGGTTGACATTTCTTTCTGCAGGAGACCAGTTGCAATCCAAAGCAACAGAACCCGGTCTCTCCAGCTATTTACCCATAGCTGAGGGTGTACGGGAAAGAAGAGGATTCATATCTTTCCCAAGGGTCAGTAAGTCAGTTATGTGCCACATGTTGCCCCAGTGGGGGGGGGGACTCAATATCGGAAGTCAGTTATGTGCCATGTGTAATACACGCTTAGGCGATTATGTATCTTTCGATACATGACTGACGAGGCAGATTTTTCACCGTAGTACGTTGTCATTTCTTTCTGCGATAGACCAGTTGCCATCCAAAGCTAAGGACGCGGTCTGTATTGCTATTTACCCATAGCTGAGAGTGGGAGAAGAAGTGGATTCATACCTCTCCCAAGGGTCAAGTCAGTCAGTTATGTGCCATGCGTGATACACGCTTACGTGATCATGTACCTTTCGATATATAACTGTCGAAGCAGATATTTTTTCCTGCAGTAGCTTGCCATTTCTTTCTGCGGTAGACCAGTTGAAATTCAAGGCTATAGAAACCGGTCTGTTCTGCTACTTACCCATAGCTGAGGGAATGGGAAGAAGAGGATTCATACTCTTCCCGAGGGTCAGTCAGTCAGTTATGTGACATGCGTGATACACGCTTTGGCGACACATGAATGACGAGGCAGATTTATTTTCCCCGTAGAATGGTGTCATTTCTTTCTGAGGTAGACCAGTTGATATTCAAGGCTACAAAACCCGGTTTGTCCAGCTATTTACATCAGGGCAGGGGAGAAGAAGAAGATTCATACCTTTCCCAAGGTTATTAGCATGTTAGTCAATGTAATGGATTCGACACGAATTTGAACTCGGCTCTGCGATTCCTCAATCCTAGCCGCTCCACCGATAATGAACAAAATTAAATCAACGCCATTTGAAAGGTGAAAACAGAGAAGATTGATGGAGCGGCAACGAAGGACATGATATTCGAAATCACCGAAAAGTACAAATATTCTCATTACCTCAGAAACTAATTATTTGGCAATGGCTTAAAAATGGCGAAGCTACTATGAAACGAAGAATTTAGTAGGAAACTCAAAGCCGGAATTAGAAAACACTTTAGAAGCGAAAAATTCTAAATAAGAATATATTTTTTTTTTGCTTTAACAATCTTGAATGTAGACTTGTTGAGCAAATATATTCTGTGACCTGCGCTCTATGTTTGTACATTATATATATATATATATATATATATATATATATATAACTATACTCGTTTCGAAAAACCCTCGAATTTTTCATTTGCCAATAATCAAATCAATCTCGAGGGAAAAAAAGGTTTTAAAAAAAGAAAGAGCTACAAACATGAAAGT